TTGAACCACCAGCCTTCTGGTTAGCAGTCAAGTGCCTTAGGCTCTATGCTACCAGAGCCATAGGATCTTTCAATACTGCAACTCGAGACTTGAATTATTTCTTCAGTTATTTCAGTTTGAAGCATGTTGAGCATAGTCTTCCCTTTTGATTGTCTAATTCCTGGCCTTTGCACATTTCATTATAATACTTTATTTTGTCTTCTTTCATCACTGTACTCACCAACATATTTTCTATTTATTTATCTTGTCTATTGTCTTTCTTTTCATAAGAACATAAACTCCACAAGGGCAGGGGTATGTGTGTGTGATTTTATGTGTTTGCCTCTTTCATTGCTGTGTCCCCTAGCAGAATGCCCAACATATCATATGTACTCAGTAAGTAAGTTAAAGGATGGATGGATGAATGAATGAATTTTTGCATACATATCTCTCTACATATGTATGTGTGCGTATATCAGGTATGTATGTCAGATACATGTATTAGTTATATGTACCAGTGAATATGCACAATTCTTTGGATTAGGATTATATGATATAAAAGTACAAGATAGAGCTAGAAAATCAGGTTGAAGATCATGAAGGCCATTGAACATCAAGTTTTGAGGTTTTCAATTTACTGGGTAGAATTCATAAGATCATCTAATTTTTTTTTAACAGGCAAGAAATAATGTAGGAAAATAATGTAAAGTAGTTTGAAGATGAACTAAAGAGAGAGAGAAAAAAGAACTTGGAGACAAAATAAGAATCTATTGTGGTTGTCCAGGAGTAAAGTGAAGAAAGCCTGCACTAGGAAGCTATAGAAATTACTATGAATAACAGCAACCATTCCAGTAGCTACCTAAACATGACTGTTTCAACATCAGTAAAAGATTGGAAAAGCATTATAGTACAGTCAAAGAAAGAAACACTAGACAGCTGTTCAAGGGAATTAAATAAGTGTATATGTTCAAAAGGTACTGATAAGAGAAACAAGTAATTCCAAAGAGTACATATAGTGTGATTCGATTTTTATAATTATGAACATAAATACACGTATGTTGATATATTAAACTTATCTAAAAAATGCACACCAGACAGCAGGTGCAGAATGGTATTTGTGAGGGTGCCCCCCTGATCTCTACTATCACATCACATAGTTCTGTGTTATTTGATATATATATATATAT